CAATAACCTGTACAATAAATTTACCTAACACAAGCACATATAACACATATTTCACGTATATATAACAATTATTTCACTAAAAACATAATAAATATCCCAACATTAGAAATGTTTATACAGCACACCCAACATTAGAAATGTTTATACAGCACACCCATTGTTTTTAATGTTAAAACAAATAAACTCAGTCCCGATCATCATCATCCTCATCCTCATCACCAACTCCACCTTGTCGAGAAGTCCCAGCCTAAAAAAATAAATAAAATGTTATAGAGCAATACGTACATCATCAAAAACTGAATTTTACAGTAAAGTAACAAATTGTAAAACAACAAGGCATAACATGCAAGTATAGCAATAATAGAGTATCATGGCATATTCTTACATGTTATATGATTCAGAGAGAGTATCATGGCATATATTTATGTATTATACGCAAGCACGCACATGTTTTTAACAACGCACGCACCCGTACCTATCTCCGCCGACACGCACACACGCACGCACGAGTACCCAGCTCAACCCAATCCCCACACTTCCCCCTCCCCCACCACGACCAAACCCAACTAGCACCTACGAGTCTGCAGCTCCACCAGGATGCAGTTCTTCTCAAGACCCGACTATGGAGCAGCGGATGAAAGCGATGGAAGATTGGCAGTCGCGTCGGGAGTCGGAGCTACTCCAGATGGCGGAGGAAGAACGGAGGCGTCGGGAGCAGAGGGAGCTGGAATTCACCCAGTTTATATCGACTCTACCTTCTGATGCTCAGGAGGCATATAGGAGACGGTTTTTGGCGGATCAGGTAATATATATATATATATATATATATATATATATATATATATATATATATATATATATATATATATATATATATATATATATATATATATATATATATTACCTGATCCGCCAAAAACCGTCTCCTATATGCCTCCTGAGCATCAGAAGGCAGAGTCGATATGAACTGGGTGAATTCCAGCTCCCTCTGCTCCCGGCGCCTCCGTTCTTCCTCCGCCATCTGGAGTAGCTCCGACTCCCGACGCGACTGCCAATCTTCCATCGCTTTCATCCGCTGCTCCATAGTCGGGTCTTGAGAAGAACTGCATCCTGGTGGAGCTGCAGACTCGTAGGTGCTACTGGACTCGTACGGCCGATGCTCGGATCCTCTCCACCTGTATCTGTTCTTCCTACTCGGTCCAATGACGGTCTCGATGATGCTATCCTCCTCCTCTCTACTTAATCGGGTCGGAGTGTTAGAATCGACCTGAGTCTGTGATAATTGCTCCTGCACCTTAGCATGTAATTTCTCCTGCGATATACCAAAACAACCCGGTCAATTCTAACACATTTAAAATGCATTGTTATAAAAATTAAATATACAAATTAACTGCTACTTACAGCCAGATCCCGGTTCTGCGCTTTCTTCACTTCATCGGCGTAATTTGGTCTCCAACCAGTCAGAATACGATCTGCAAAATGCCCGAGTTCTCCCCTTCCCTATTTTATTCACATATATCATTAACTCATAACACATAAATTATACTCAAATTGATAACCTAAGAGCTAATATATTATATACCTCAAGCGCCAATTGATGATAATGCTGGCTGAAGGACCTGGAGCCCCCGTGATGCTCGTAACTGCGGGGCGCATTGCGGTTCCTCCTTGCTATTTCAGCTTGTTCCTGCAAAAGAATGTTAAACAGATATAATATAGAATTTCAAACAATAAACGAAGATATATACTTCAATAATACCTGAGCTTCGGCCGTGTCCCAATAATCGCAAAGTGCAAAAAAATCAACTCCATCGGCGCGCTCGTCAAGATGCCAGTAACGCTCCCAATCTTCTGTTCTTTGAGTAAAATATTTTTTCTTCAGCTCTGACCGCCACCTCTTGAACGATAGATTGATTTGCGTGAAGCAGTAAGTCCAGGCATAAGCGTAATCGTCAAGAAAGAAAAACCGCTTCAGCATACAATGAAAAAAGAGATACAAATCAGTGTGTTAAACAAACACTACCACATATTTACTCTAACGCAACAGTTCTAGTGTAACGCTTATGACCGTTGCGCTAGGTATCTATGGGGGCGGTTTTGCAACGCTTTGACAACGGTTTACAAAAACCGTTTCGCTAGGCCCAATAATTTTGATTTGGGCCGATTTTATAGGCTGGTTTGGGCTGAACACTGAAACTAATTCTCATTTTTATTCACCGCTTTACCAAATATCCCTCTTTCTCTCTCTCTCTCAAATATCTCCCTCTTCGTTCGCTCTGGGCTTACCCCTTTCTAAAATATCTCCCTCTTCGTTCGCTCTGGGAGATCGCCATGGCCGAAATTCGTCGATCTCATCGCTGAACTCATCGCTAATCCCTTCGCTGTTTTTCGATCTCATCGTCTCCGATCTCAACTCTGATTTCGTCGTCGATCTCGTAACTAATCTCTTCGTCGAGCTGCTGGTCTCGTCTCCGATCTCATCTCCGATATAGGTCGTCGAGCTCGCAGCTAATCCGTCTCCGATCTCACTCTCCTTTGGACTCTCAGGTACCTCGTTCCTTTTATTTCTGATTTCTACAGTTTATTCCCCTTTCTAATTAAATTATAAGGCTAAATACTTAGTATTCTTTTTTTCCTTTTTACACAAGGACAGGGGAATGACATGCTGCATCTCAATTATTTGATGATATCATGATATCACTGGATTCAATTTTTGTCAATATTTTGAAATTCAGTCTGGATATGTTATCTAATTCAGATGTCATAATATCCACTTTGAAGACACCTGTAAGGGTATGATTCATAATTTCACATCCTATGATATATGTTCATGCCTGTGTGGCCATGTAACAACTAGAATACAACATGATGAAGATGCTCCAGTTACTAAATATACTTTAGATTACTAAACATACTGTTGTTCTTGCTGTTTCTGGTCAATTTAGAGCTTTACTAAAGATTTGGCATTCTCAAAATGCAAGGGTAAGAATTTAATTTTCTATTAATACCATTGTTTTTATGCGTCACTTGATTTTTTTTTTTCTGAAAAGGAACCATTGTTAGAAATAAAAATTAGTTTAATTCAGATATTATTGTTTATTTAAATTTTTTTATGTATTTTATTTTTTTTAGTTCAACAGCAATTAATAATGTAGTTTTATACTTTACAGTCTCATAATCTGAAGCCGATACAAAAAAGTTGCATAACGAATGGAGGAAAACAGCAATTCTTTTATTCCACTTGCCTGTTTTTAACTGATACATAAGTATTTCCTAATTTTATTATATATATTATGATGGTTGTATTATGAACCCCTCTTGAGGGAACCCCTAGCTCCGTCAGAACTATGCTTATAATGTTAATACATGTAGTTTGACGTACGTATAGACAGTATGATGTATGTATAGATCGACATGCGACTGCGCGCGCACACAGATAACCTCCCTCACTCTCATGTATCCAAGGATGCCAAGTGATATGAAAACAATTGAAGGGTGACAAGTACAACTGAAAATATTGGTGAGGGGGTTTTATATGCAATTTACCCTGTATATGTACACATATCCACATATATATGTACATATGCGCACATACACTTTATTTTTTTTTATGTAAAAGGTTGAAAATACTCAACATAAATTCTAACTGCAATGATCGACAGGAGATGATTTAATCCACATGACTTTCCATTACACCTTTGTGACTAATATTTTCTTGATAATATCCATTGGAGTTTCCAGCATTCCCATGCTTGGCTACCTCATTTCCGTTGCTCAAGGATGAGGGACCTGTATATACATGGTAATTAGATGTTTACAACTTGACATTTGACCATTCAATTCTTTATTGTATTAGTCCACATCAATATTGTGATCAGCTTCTATACTACATCAATGAATGTGCCGATATTATCCAGTGCTTGAATAAGAATTTGTGCTACTCCAGAAGGTAGTTCAATTGAACATCCTTTCTTCAGGTTCCGGAAGCTGCAGTAGCTAATCATTTTAGTACTGTGCTGCTCAATAACTATAACAGCCAATCTATTCTACAGAACCACTTGCACCGCACCATTTTCCAATTTCTTGCACTAAAGGGGGCCTCCATCTGAGTTTCACTCCCTAGTTGAGCATGCCAGCACAACTAGTTTTTCTTTTTTATTCTTTATGTTGACTTGTTTCTGGATTGAAATACATTATGAGCTTTAAAATGAGAACACCATCTTGTTCGGATTGCATCACTTAAACTTGTAAAGTGATAATTAATTATGTGGACCCTATTCAAAAGGATCATCTTATCATAGATAAGATTACCTCCATAAACAAAAAAAATTCTCAATGAAGTGCATTGATATTTCAATCAAAAAAATCTAAAAATAAAATAGAATATGCAACTGCTCATAACCTGACATCTCATATTCCCAACCATTGCAACTCATATCAATAGTAAATATTGTCAAGTACCTTTCTTGCTCAAATTTGAGCTGGAAGTGTATTTCCACTTGTATATCATCACATATATAGATTATTTTTTGAGGAGATGGGTTATGGGAAATTTGGGGTTTGCATGTGGGATTCTATGGGCAATTTTGTAAAAATGGTCATATAAGTATTTAACTTCTTTCTGTTGAAAGTCCTAGTTTTTTTTTTTGCAATCCTTTGATAACATGTACTTGGTGTACAAAGCATGATAAATATTGCTATCTGAATATGCTTCATTGCTCATCACATATCAGATGACATCTTCTGATTGCTTGCTTGACTTCAGTGTTGGTTGAAGAAACAAAAGGATGTCCTATTTCCTGCTTTACAAGAGACTGGGGAAAATGTTATCTGGACTTCTAGGCTTATTTTTGGAAAAGGAGAGGTATTTGTTCTTTTCCCCCCTATTTTCTTTGTGTTCAATTGCGCAATAAAGCCTTTGAACCGGAACATCCGGTTCCATAGAACAGGGCCCCACACTTGGGGGGGCCCCAATTCCAAATCGCGTAGGTAACCCAGGTCCCAATTCCAAAATCGCTCAAAATTAAAAAGGCTCCTGCGAGCGGACAGAAGCTAGGGCGACGGCGAAATTTAGGCTTTTTCCTTTCTTCTTCCTCTTCAAACACTGAACTGAAGCACATCCCCTCTTGGCTCTTGATTCAGGTAAACCTCACGTCCCCACCTCTTTAGCTTGTCTCAATGAGTCAATGTCTTTTGTGTTTGATTCCATGATCCATCTGTCAAAACCCTAAAGTTTCAGATTATTGGGTTCGATGTTTTGGGTCCCCTCTTGATTTGATTTTGGGGTTGTTTTAGGGATGATTGACCATGCGTTGAACATTTACGAAATCAAAGGCTAGAATAGTAGAATTGATCACCTTTGGGTGCTGTCTGCTTGTGTAATTTATAGTTTTCTCCTCTGGGTTTGTTGAATTACGTCTAAAATAGCTTTATAGCATAATAATCAGGAGGAGATATAACATGGAACAGAGTTGTCTCTTTTAGGCTAAAAGCAGGACATGCAAGAAGGAATATTTAAAATACATATATGAAGAGGACGCATTCAGTTGTATTTGTTCTGGAAAAGGCCTTAGTTTAGTTGTGCCGTGTAAGGAAAAAAAAAGGATGCAGCTAATTGAATACAGTGATCTGATTAATTAATAAAGCAATGGGAGTTGGTTGTATTTTGGATCATCACCTGAGCATTTATAGTCTATCATTATAAGTATGCTCTGCTTTGCTTCTGCTGTATGTTTCTTTTGTTTCTATATGAGAACATAAGCATGAATGCATGATTATACCATTACTCTAGATAATGTGGAGGCAGTTTACCAGGATTGAAGTTCTTTTAATCACTCATACTTGATAACTATTATGCTATTCCTAATGTCTTATGTGTTTCTCCATAGTCCTTGATCATCTCTTCATCTTCAGGTACAATTCGTCCTTATAGCTTCAATTCCTTTCAAAATTAGTCTTTAAATCTTGGAATGCAGTTGGATATTAGGTAATAGGTATATATCCCCAATTTCAATTTGGTTGTTTTGTTGAATTTGATTATGGCTAATATTTATCAAATTGATTTTTCAAATATGCCAGGTAAAATTTTATGCCAGGTAAAATTTTATTAACATTAATTTCTGCATAATCTATTATATTTCGAATATTCCTTTGCTGACCAAGACCTGGAAGCATTCAATAATACAAACAGTAATTTTATTCTATTGTAACCCCCCTCAAAAAATAAAATAAATAAATAAAAACCCGTCGCGTGCATTACTTCTTTCATAATCTTGTTCCCTTAAATTTTGGTGTTTTATCAGGAAATATCAAGGATGGGAGCACTGGAGATGTTGCTGATGATCACTACCACCGATACATGGTCCACATTTTAATCATACCATATAGACATAAATTATTTAATCAAGTTCTTGTTACATGATATTATCTGAGTTTTTGCCCCTTTTTTCCTCAAAGATTCTGTCATTTGCCGCCCCCAGATATTTTGCTAGGCTATAATTGCAGATCTCGTCAAATTTTAGAATTTAGCTGGCTGAAAAAATCGGGGAGCTGACTAGATGAGTAACATGAATTTTTTTTAGAATTTACCTAGTTTTCTATTTTTTCTGTTTATTCTCTTTGCTATAGCCTTCTGGAAGCAAGCTCCTTTAAAATTTTGTGATTCTTGCTTTTTCTGATGCTCCTTCTGTTTATTCTCTTTGCTACAGCATTTGGGTTATTTGCTCTTCTGTTAATAGCTCATTGAAAGAGAGACTCAGATGTTTAAACAATATTTTATCTTTGCAGTGAATTGTGAATCTGAGGATCATGGTTTGGACTTTGAAGAAACTGTAGCCACTATTTTGCTCAAATGGAAGAGGTTTTGATGTAGGTGAGTGATTTTCTCTCTCTTTTTTAATATAAAAGAGAAACTGTAGTCATCTGAGGATCAATTGTCTCCTTATTTACCAATGTTACTTGAGCGTTTTTTTTCCTTGTAATGGTTAGTTTAAAAAATTACTTTTTCAGTTTGTTGCTAACATGATATTTGATATGTTTCTTTATTTTTTGCAGGGGATATAAAGACTTAAATAGGAGAATGCGGTCAAGATGGCTTCGATATATGAATCTTTTGGAACAGACTTGTACTTTTGAATTGATCATATTTTGATGGTTGTGAATTGATCATATTTTGATGGGTTGAAGTTATCTTGTAACTACTTATTTTTGAATGATGGGCTTAAAACATATGAATGTTTTATTATTTTTTATTTTGATGATATCTTAATGTAGTGTGTTCTTATTCCATTTTTATTTTGGTTTACGTAACTGTGTTTGCTTATTGGTTAAATTTCTTGAAAAGTACTGATATAGCCCTGTAAAACTGTTGCCGTAGCCCTGTAAAACTGTTGCCGTAGCCCTATAAAACTGTTGCCATAGCAAATCAAAACGTCGCATTAGCTACAAAATAAATGTTGCATTTGGTCCCTGATTTTTTAAAAACCGCTGCCCTTGTGTATGAAACTGCGACATTAGGTATCAAGAAACCATCGTTTGCAACTGTTGCATTTGCAATAACTGTTGCCTTTGTGTATGGAACTGTTACATTAGGCATAAGTAAACCGCTACAGAAAACGTTGCATTTTGTGAAAACCGTTGCGTTAGCCTCGTCTTAGAAACCGTTGCATTAGGTTGTGAAACCGCTGCCTTATGGCTAGGGCAACGGCAGCAATGAAGACAGTTTGCTAACCGCTGCGCTTGTGCAACTGCAACGGTTTAGATGCTAATGCGACGGTTTTAAACCGTTGCGTTAGAGCAAATATGTGGTAGTGAAAATAATATAAACTATAAAATAAATGACTCACACATATATATATCGCCAACAAGCCACCAGCGCATCAATCCGCTGCGACTTCCACGTCAAATATATGTTGAAGAAATCATGTCTCCTGGCTAAAGCGGCGAGGAAATTGTTGAAAGAGTTAGCAAATGGCCCGACAGGCACGCCGTTCTGCCATCGGATCACGGCCCTCCGACGAATATCTGGGACGAGGTTCTGTGGCTTGGTACTACTGCGGCCGCACCTAGTAGGTGGCTCGTTACCTACGAAAAAATGAAATTCAGGCGAAATATAAATCAATCAATATCGATAATACAAATTAAATATTAACTATAAACTAATAAAAAATCTAATACACACCTTTCAATTCGAAGCATCTAAACGCCTTGCTTGTTCATGAACCTTCTCGCTGTGCGATAAGATCGCAAATCAATGATAAGCATCCCAATCCTACCTTCACCTTGGCCGGGTGCGTCGTGCGGCTCGCTGATCCAGGAATAGAATCCGGCAGGTAGTGCGCAGGCTTCTACAGCCTGGCGCTATATGCTCATATCGGCGCTCCTCTCCAATACATCTTGGCAAGACCTGAGGAGGCGACGCGGCATCTCTGATGGGCTGGGCAGGATCAACGAGTGTCTCCGCCATCAGGTGAGCATCTCTCGTCTGTGTCCTGGTAACGGCCCGTCATGTTGTATAGCCAGCGATGCGGCCTGCGTTAGGAATGTGAAAATAATAATGTTAGCGCTTCGTATTAATAGTTATAGAAAATGGTACAGATAATAATAATAAATAAAAATACGCTGACGTAGTAGCCATGTGCGTCGGCCTGACCAGAATGTCTACCTAAAACTCTCTCAAGCCGTCTCTCTTAACGTAATCCTTTTGTCATCTATAACTTTGAAAACATAATGAGGACCCAACAAAACTATAATACATGACAAAAAATGAACACTGATGAACCAGTTCAAACAGATAATATAAATGCAATACTATAATACATAACACAAACCGCAATACATGAATATACAGTCAAACAAATAATATAAAGGCAATACTATAATACATGACACAAACTGATACATGATAAACCAGTCAACAGATAATATAAAGGCAATACTATAATACATGACACAAACTGATACATTGTCGTTATGATGATGTTGAGGCTCTACCTCCTGGACCCTGTGTGCGGGTTTAGCTGCGACCCATGTGTGCGTGCCAGAAAAAGGACTGCTCTATATTTTATCACTCTACCGTGGACTCGTATTTTTGATTTTATGCCTCTGGCTCACATATAATCGCAGGTACGATCAGGGCACGCCCAGTGCAATTTCATCCACCAAAGTTATTTGTGGTCAATGAAAACTCCAGGCAACTGTTTTCGGCTCGGCCAAGATAACATCTTCATGATCTCTCGTCCCAGACACGGCTTCATGAATGTAGGATCTAGGCGATTCTTAAGGACAACCCATGCGTCATTTTTTATTATATCTTTGCACATAAAAGCACTGTTTTGAGGAAGGCCAGCTAACATGTCACTTTTCAGTCTGATATATTTCGCTTGTTAAGCATTATACGAGTGTTAACCGGTAGTCATCCTTCGCTTTTTTTCAGGGCTCACTCCAACGAACCTTAAACATCACAGATCTGACTTCATTATTAATTACCCATAAAAATGCTCCACCAATGTCTTACTACCTGACGCGTAGCAATAGATTTCACCTTGTACGGATTTAAGAATCTTTTGAACTAGCGTATGACAGCTTGCAGAAGAAGAGCAGAACAACACCGCATTTTGCCGTTTGTCGTCTCTCTTCGAAACCGATGGATGTTTAAAACCTAAAGCCGTTGATACAGCGTAGCCTCCATAACGCTTAACCACTGTTAGAAAAGGACTCTGGCCATATAAACATATTTTCTCAGGGGGGGCCAGGTTACCCGATTCGTAATACGTCGTCAACCTAAAGAAAAAAAAATAAATAGTTTTACAATATCTCTTCAAGGCACATATTTGATATACGGAATCAGAAATGTGAAATAAATCTTAACTTCACCCTTCACATGCATGGGAATTTCTAGAGTGTGGCTGTCCATTAACTCTTTTAGTTTTTGTGTTCTGTCATTTTAAGAATAGGTCTGGAACATATCGGATGTGAAGACCTCTAGAATAAAATCATTTACAACAGTTAAATAGACGATAGTTATTGTGATTGTGATATGATTGATTCAAACGAGTTAAATAATACGTCGCGTATATGTTAAATGTATGTATCATTGCCTCAAGGAATATATGTGTGGGCTTGATCTAGCTTCCACTTCTGGGAATCTAGTGTCCTCCCCACATCATTACTAGAATGGTTCCGTTCAATTATTCGTTGGGGACGGTTGAGCCTTGTCTCCACACCCGCAAGTAATGAGAGATGAAATTCAAACTTCAATTACTTATATAGTTTCGGCTATCGATCCTTCAGGACGTGTCACGATTATGCCATCAAATGTTCATGAAACCCAAATACCTACAAGCATATAGTTTCCATCATTTGTGACAAAATAACTGATATACGTAATTTAACAGAATATTAATTGAGCATTGATAATAATAAAATACCTCTCCAACAGGGTACTCACAGCGATATTAACTGGTCGCTTGCCGCATGGCGGGCTTCATATGCTAAATGTATTGTGAGATGCACCATGACCGTAAAGAACTGAGGGTTGGAAAATAGAATTTCAATTAACTAGTGTAATTGGCTACACGTACGCGCTCTACATTCTTCAACTCCGCTGAATCCAATGCACCTTGGAGCACAACGCTTGCAAAGAAACCGCATATTCTATATACCCACGCATCGCGAGTTCCTTCTCAGCCATTTCGCAACGGCAACGCGAGAAGCTTGATGCAATACGTAAGCCGTGTATATGTATTTACGTGTGTTCAAGTGTAACTTTTTATTCGGTCAAAATTCGGCAGGCACCTACCCGCTGTACTTAATCGGATACGGATCCTCTCCTATATGAGGGGGTTCCTCTAATATCTCCCTAATGAGAATCTTGGCCCTTTGATTTATCAATCAAAGGCCAGATCCCTCATGCCCACAAAAGTAGGGCGGGAAAATAGATAAGCCGTAGATATTGGCCTTTGATTGATAAATCAAAGGCCAAGTCTTCTTATTAGCTAGATTAGTAAGAGCGATTCATCAAGTACATCAAGTACACAAGTTACGTTAATAGTTATTCGGTAAATCGTCAAATCTTGTAGCTTTGGCTAGAATAGCCAATAATCAGTTATTTCTGAGATGATTTTCTTCATCATCATTCGAAGGGGAGAAAAAATTAAACTAGCTAATTTATATACAGCAGCCTTGGCAAAAAAAAAAAGAGGCAACGTAGGCAAATAAGGCTAGCTCACATCAACGGGACATTCATTTGTATTCCTTTTTAGTCAACATCATATCTCTTCACAGAGAAGTGTGAGCCCACACTTCACTTCTATTGCGTGCATGCTTGCATTACCTGCCATGTGTTGTTTACGCCGAATTTAGCTCTCTAATTCAAATTAGTTAAACCTAATTAAGCCTTTAAAACAACCTGTGTTCATCGTCATATACGTAACGATGCGCAATAACAGGTTCTCTTCTCCGATATCTCATAATTTTTCTTCAGAATATTCATTTTAAATTTATAAAAAGCTTAATTATTATTCAATAAAAAGCTCTTTTAAGGGGAAAAAAAAAACTTCAAAATGTCAACGTGGGCTTGGGGGACCTAACCCAAACCCAATCCGTAAGTGGTCAGCCACCACCAAAATTACTAAGGCTGAGTTCATTATTAATAACCCAACAAATGGAGCCAACAGGGATTTCTGTCATCTCAATAATATATGATATATAAATCATAAAATACATGCCAATTAATTATTGTATTGTTTCCATGACTTGTTTGAGCTAAAAGTTCCCGATTTTAAGCCGGCACGTCTGAGGGTGAAGTGAGGCTGAGAGAACCAATACATGCAAGTGTGAATTTTTAGTCATGCATGGCATTTGTGGGACGGCCAATGGCCCGGCTACCCTCCTTATCATTGCCATTATATATATAATAAATTGCAAATTTAAAGCTAGCCTTTACGAATCTTAAACCCTCTATGGGGGGAAAAAAATTAAACTCTAATATATATACAGCAGCCTTGGCCAAAAAAATGACATAACAGATCAGACGCCTAAAACTTACCGCCGAAAGCTTCCACCATCAAATTTAACTAAAAATTGAAGTGGAGGATGGTGAGTCTTACCTAGAATTGCTGATGAAGAACAAAAGCTTTGGCAAGAGAACGCCCGGCTAGATGTCCGAGCCCAAAATCAAACACGGCCGCCGAACCTAGGCTCTTGGATTCGGTTGAAACTGAGGAAGGGGAAAACCTTCTTCTCGTATGAGATGAAGAAC